CCGCGCGGCCGCGGAGGGGAGGGCGGGGGGCGGCTTCCTCTCCCGGCCCCCGCCTACCTCCTGGGGGCCTAGCGCTTCCACAAACGTCGCCCGCGCCCTGTCTCCGGCCCGGGCACCGCCCGGTCCAGGCCGATGCTACCCCCCTCTCCTCGCACCCCCCAGCCCGCTCGGATCTTCGCAACCCCGCAGCCTGTTTGGGTCCCAGCACCTCCCAGCCGTTTGTGGCTCGCACCTCCCGCAGCCTGCTGGGGTCTCCGCAGCCCCCAGCCCGCTCGGACCCCGCACCCCCTGGCCAGCGGAGCCTTGGGGCCCCAACGCGGATCTGCCCGGGCCCTCACTTGCCTCCAGGCCTGGGTCCCGCATTACCTCTTCTCCCCTTGATCTCCCCTCACCTCCTGCCACTTCGCCTGCTCCTCGCCGCACTGAAGGGGGCGGAGAGGAGTGGGCACCGAGTCTCAAATGTTACCCTCAGAAACGAGGCAGAACCGTCATAGTCAAGGAAGCCAGGGGTGAGCACTGGGAACGTTTTTTCAGCAAGAAAGGTGGTGTTGTGTGGCGTGGAGTCGATTCTGACTCACAGAGACCGTATAGGACAGAGTAGAGCTGCTTCATAGGGTTTCCAAGGCTGTCATCTTTACGCAAGGAGACAGCCACATCTTTCCCTGCGGAGCGGTGGGTTGGAACCGCCAACCTTTCGGTTAGCAGCCGAAGCACTTGACCAGTGCGCCACCAGGGCTCCTTATTGAGAAGAAACGAGATATCCCTTAATAAAAACTAGGCGCGTTGCTTAAAAAATCAACCTATAGGGTGCCTGGGCAGGCCCACCACCGCGGTGGCATATGACGGTGCCTGGTTTCCCTCTGTGGAAGGAAGTTCTGGCCTTGGCCGTTGTGGCTCCTCTCCTGGTGAAACTTCAAGGTCTGCTGTCGGCCCTCAGCAAGGACGTCGTGCTCACCGGCCTCGGCTCGGGAGAGGCGTGACGGCCCGGGGCTGGGGACCAGCGCTGTCAGGACCAGGGACAGCGGCTGCCAGAGGGCGGGGCGTTTGGGGTGCTGTACCTACGAGGAAGGATCCTAAATGCACCATCCTTTCTGGTGTCCCCTACCTCCCCCCCCACCCCTTCCAGGAAGCTCACTAGCTTTTCCCGGCTGTGAGCAATCACCTCTGGGTTGCAGGGGCTTCGAATTCAGCCCGCACAGCCGCAGAGCAGGTGACGTGCATGAGGGCGGGTTGGTTCCTTCGCATGCCCTTCAGGGTTCAGTTCTTACAGCCAAGTTTAACCTGGAGCCGGTGAGGGTGCTTGCCGGGCCACCGAACGTCCTAGCCGGCGTTATTCTAGCCCTCTGGGCCTCAGTCTACTTCCGTTTCCCGCTTTAAAAGTGCCGCGGCTTCGGAGAAGCTCTTCGCTCCTCGTGGCTCCTGACCTCCACCCTAGGGGACAGTGACGGATGCTGGGGGATCCCCTTCCCAGGGAAGTGGAATTCAGGCCCGAATTGCCCAGACTTCTACTTTTTCAAAAGCAGCTAAAATCCGAATTTTTGTGTGAAATCTCATGAATTTCAAATATTGGCAACGAAATTTAAAAATGGCAACGCGGTACAGGGCAAAACGAACACATGTGCCCGGCGAATCCAGACCGTGGGGCAGGCGAGATGTGGACAAAGGCTGCGGGCTCCGAGTTCCAGCCGCGTGGCCACTGTCCGGTGACCTTGGGAAAGTCCCGAGCCACGCCTAGCCTCAGTTTCCCTTCTGCGGAATGGGTGTCTGTTCCAGGGCCTGTAACAGCCGCGCTGCAGGGGTTGGGGTCAGGACGCCATTCTCCTACGCCGAGCCCGTGGGGCCTCCCTGAAGTCCCCCCCCATGGGAGGCTGTTGGACCGCGCCGGCCGAGGCGAGCTGAGGTTTTGTGCAAAGTTAATGGAGCTTCAGCTAAAGGCGGAGAAAGGGGCGGGAGCCGAGGCCTCTGGGGTGTGGGAAACGCGACCGAGAAGCCACCGGCGGGGGAGGGGAGCCGCCTTTGTGTGCGTTCCCGTGGCGACCGCCCCCCCCCCCCGCCCCACATTGTGGCTGCGCACCGCCTTCCGCCCCTTGTGGGGGCTGGGCGCCTCCTTTCTCCCTCTCCCTCCCTCTGCCCGAGAGGCTTCCTGTCTGCCCCGCCCCCCAAGGCTCCCCCAGAATCCCGGCGGTGAGAGGTCCGGGCTGATCTGGACTCAGCGGCCTGGCAGAATGGGGACCCTCTCCTATCCCTCAGCAGACTTACACTGGGCTCCCCAGGATGCCAGCAGGGGGTGGGGGTCCATAGCACTGGACTGGAGTGACTTCCGGCGGGTTTGGGACCACGGTGAGTGCTTAGACACTGGGAGGTGGGGACAGTCAGGGCCTGGGGGAATCAGGGAAGCCCCGCCACCACAACCCCAGGGAGCCATGAAGGCAGAGGGGCAACACAGGGAACCCGAGGAGGCAGGGGCTGGGTAGGTGGGCACAGGGCTCACGGGAGTGCTGTAGGTGGGGGAGGACAGGGCATGGAACAGGGCGTGGTGTGGGGCAGGTGAGACAAGGCATGAGGATGGACCCCTCCAAGGAGGGCCTTCTGCCCAAGAGTCTCCCACCCAGGCGGGAGCCCTGGCCTGCTCCTCCCAGGCCACCCCTGTGTCCCTCCACCCCTACAGTGTCCCCCCTAAATATCAAAACTCCACTCTTCTCTCCATGTCCACGGCCCCCCGACAGGTCCAGGCCCCTACTGGTCTCTTCGACCACTTCTGTTGTGAACAGACCGTGCTCAGAGCATACTCCCTACACAAGCATGGACCCATGCTGGTGGGGGGCGGGAGGTCACTGCCACTCAGCGAGGAGGAGGGGCCGCGTTAGGGGAAGATTCACCGTGACTTGGAAGTGCTTGCCCACCCACACCCCCTCCCGGCCTCTCCCTCTGCCAGCTCGACTGGGAGGAAGAGCAGCAAGGACGGAAAGGCCTCGTCTGCTGGCATCCTGACCATGCTGGCCTGCCCACCCCTATGCACCACATCACCCACGACCAACTTCTGCCCCTGTCCGCCCTGAGAAAGGACAGCCCCCAGGTCTCTTCACACTCCTGACTGTCCTGCAAGGGGAAGTGAGGGGCGAAAACCTCACCTGAGTGTGGAACTGTTAGACCTGCAGGTCTTACCCCAAGCTTCATGGGGAGGGAGTATGAGGAAGTTTCTCACTAACCCCTTCCTTCTCTCCTTTCCTCTTCTTGCCTGGCTGCCCAATAGGGAGCGGGTGGAGGTGGTTGCAGGGGTGCATTCTGGAAGCCAGACCTCCTGGTTCCCAGCCCTCTCCCCCACATCCACAGCTCAGCACCCCCAGAGTGTGTCCCTGCTGCCTTTGTCCACGTCTTGGCTGCCCCATGGTCTGGGTCTGGATTCACCAGGCACATGAGTGGCACCTCTTTTGGATGTCCTGAGCAGCCTGGTCTTTGGGAAGGGGGGACATCAATTGTATGTCTAGTACCCCTTCCTTGGGGAAGATGCCCACCCTTGTTCCCTGTGGCTTGAATGGGGCTGCCCCCTTCAGGAGGGGCACATAACCAAGATCTAGCCCTTCAAGAGATCCCCCCTGCAGCCAGTGACATGCCCTGGGGTGGGGGTGGGGGGAGGGAGGCACAGGCCTGTACTGCCCGCCGCCAGTGTCCCTGCTGACACCAAAGACACCTTGTGAGTGTCTGGCTTCAGCCATACCTGAAGCTGTGAGGCTTCCATTTCCTTGTTATGGAGCTACCAGATCCCCTTTCTGCTTGGATCGGGACGCTCTGAGCACAGTAGAAGTTCCCTGAGGGCTGTGCCCTATCTGTCCTGTTGACTGCTGTGTCTCCAGCGCCCAGAACAGTGCCTGGCACAGAACCAGCGCTCAGTAAGAATGTACTGGCTGAACAAATGGCAGACACCTGTGCAGCTGATGCTGCCACGTGTGTTCATGTGGTGTGTTAGTGCATGTGTGCCGTGTGTGTGCATCGTGTGTGTGTGTGCACGTGTGCATGTGTGTGCTCCGTGTCTGTGGGAGGTGTTTCAGCCATGAGCCTGAGCTGCGGGTGTCCCGTCTGAACTGCACCTGTGTTTCGGCAGTTTCACGGCTCCAGCCCTGTGACCTCACCCGGGCAACCTCTCCCCGGCATCGCAGAGGTGCCGCTCTTGTGTTCCGAGTCACCCTGGGTGGCTCATGGCCTTGGGCAGCACAGGGCTCAGCTTTCAGGGACAGTATCTTGGCCTTTCTGGTCTGAACCTCTCATTCTCAGGAGACATCAGGATGGGCCAAGCTTGGGCAAGTTCTGCCCGCATCCGTCAGCAAGGGTGGGCAGGGCAGGGTCGGGGGAGGTGTCAGGTGGGCTCCCTGGGAATGGCCTAGCTTTGGCCACAGCGGACTCCTGTCAGTACCTGCTGTTATCTCCACGGCCATCCGCCTCCTGCCCACCCACCCCTCCGCCACCCTGGCCACACCTGCTTTTGGCTTTTGGCCCTGCCCTTGCCCCTCCTGTCCTCACTGTCTCTCTCACCCAGTGTGCTCCTGGTCCTTCTACCCCATGTCCTCGCCAGCCTCTCCCCTGGGTAGACCATGGCTCGGTCTCTATGATGCTTCCCCTGGGAGCTGGACCATGATGGGCACAGCCGCACAGTGACCATCAGCCCCAGGACCTGCGACTCCTTGGCCCTGTGTGGCCCCCCTCGTCTCCCCCCAGCCCTCCTGCCTTGCCCAGCCCTCCAACCCACTGGACTCAGGAGGGAGAGGCCCTGGGGTGGCCTCCCCTTCCTCCCCAGGCCGTCCCCCCAGAGGATAGCAGCTCCTCCTCCTCCTCCAGGGAGGCCCTTTGGCTGCTGAGCCCACTCCAGGGCCTTCTTACAATTGTCCAGGTGTGCCCGGTGTCCCCCTCCCCCAGCAACCTCCTCTCCTGTCACAGCCGGCCAAGGTCCTCACAGAACACCTGCTGAGCGTGCCTCCAGAGCCCCTGGATGGAGCCTCAGTAAAAACACTACCTGTGCTGTGTTGGGTGCAGGTAAGTGCTGGGGAGAAAGCAGGTGGGATGGAGGATAGAGGATGGAGGCCGGGTCGGGGGTGACCCTGGTGTTTAGAGAGCTGGTCACCATGGCCCATATGTGGCTCGGTTCTCTGGGCTTCAGACACGGTCTTGTAAACACAGACGACCCTTCACCACTTCTGTCATCTCCACCCAGCCCTCTGTCCTGATCCGCCCCTCCCATGGGCCCCTGGGGATTGAATGACCCTGGCTGAGCCCCCACCTTGGCGGCAGCATGGCCACCTGCACCCTGAGGCCCCTTCCCCATCACTGTACACTTTGCCTGGTCATTGGGCTACCTGGGACTCAGTCATCCTCGACAGCCAGAGAGTCCCCAGCCACCCACGTCCAGCAGGGTCTGCACACAGTAGGGCTTACTGACGGCTGGCAGGAATGTCTGCTGTGTCTCAAATCCCGCTTGCAAGGAGCCTCCTCCCACCCCCTTAGAAACAGGATATGGTTCAGAGCTGGGACAGCCGCTGGGTGCCACACCCCCTCCCAGCAGCCCAGCTCCCGCTGGATGGAGGCAGGAGGACATTCCAGCCACCAGATGGCACCCGGGCCGGCAGGATCCCCACGCCCACCTTGGAGGACGCAGCCATGAGGCCTCAGTCCCACGCCAGTGTGCTCAGCCTCCTCGCCCCCCTCTTGCCCCACGAGCTGTTCTCTTCCAGGATCAAGCTCAGGCGGAGCTGCCCCCAGCCCTCTCCATGCTAATGAGAGGGTACCAACCCTCCTACCTCTCAGAGTCTGAAAGAGGGGAAGTGTCCAGTGTGGACTCCCCAGAGGTGATGGCTGGTGGTGGGGTGCAGCTTCCACCCCAGAACAGCTGTAGGCAGGAGGCTCGGCATGGGGATGCAGTTGAGCCAGGGACTGTGGGTGGGGTAAGGCCACACAGGGCCCACCTGAGGGTGTGACCCCAGGGCCAGACTGTGTTGGGGACAGAGGCCGTGAGGAGCCACGCAGGGGGCAGAGACGGGATTGGGGCTTTCAGCCCCAGGAGGAATCCAGCCAACCCACAGACTGAAAAAGCTTGGTGTATTTGATTTACAATTAACAAGATTTACAAAAGGGGGCGGGGGTCCTGGAGAGGATGGCCTGACAGGCCGGAGACCAGGACCCATCTGCTGGGGCCCCCTCTGGCTGCCTGGGCCTCGACGTCTGACGTCCAGCTTGACCTTTGAGGTGGGGCCCGGGCGGCCCGCTTGAGTTGACTTAGATCGACAGTGCCCGCAGGGAAGGCAGGTGAGGTCAGGAAGGCATCGTACCGCTTGTTCTCTTCTTCTCATCCCAGGAACAGACAGACAAAGACACAGTCTGGGGCCACAGGCACTGCAGACGCCCCAGGGAGGTGGGCCCAGGGCCCCCATGCTTGAGATGGTGCGGCTGTGGCGCCGGGAGCTGAGGCCGGTGTCTGAGTGCTCACCGTGGCTCATCGGGCAGCAGGCGCCTAAGGCACGTTTGCGAATCACTCAGGAGGACTAGACGCGAAGACAGAACCCGATGCTGGTTCCAGAGAGAGCTGGTGCTGTCAGGGCCACTGCAGCACGGGGGCCCCCCTCGGGCAGTATTGCTCAGGAGAAGGATGCTACAAGAGCCCACACGTGCTGAGGGCCGGGCGCCCCGGAGGGCTCGCCCTCTGCTGGTCAGAGAGAGAGGCTAAGCCGCTGGCCACAGGGCCAGCCCCCGAGGCACCTGAAGCCCCGTGCCGCAGCTCAGGGCTGAGGTTGGGGGTCAGAGGTCCGTGACCTTATCCTCCAGCGTGGCTGCAATCTGCTGCAGGCGGAAGGCCAGCTGCATCTTCTGGGCAGCGGGGTCCTCCTCCAGGGCATTAATGATCTGAGAGGGGTCACCATCACATGAGCGCTCGCAGCGAGGGGCTGCCCAGAGCCCTCCTAACCCCCGTGAGGACGTGACCGGCCTACCTCATCATAGTACTTCTGTGTGTACTGGTAGAGCTGGTGCAGGGCCACAAGGGTGTTCAGGGAGTCCGTGTGTGCCTGGTCGGGGGGGACAGTGTGACCCAGGATAGGCAGGGACGGTGTGACCTCGGGGTAGGCGGGGATGGTGTGACCCGGGGTAGGCATGGACGGTGTGACCCGGGGTAGGTGGAGATGGTGTGACCCGGGGTAGGCGGGGACGGTGTGACCCGGCCGGGGTAGGTGGAGATGGTGTGACCTGGGGTAGGTGGGGATGGTGTGACCCGGGGTAGGAAGGGACGGTGTGACCCAGGGTAGGCAGGGACGGTGTGACCCGGGGTAGGCAGGGACGGTGTGACCCGGGGTAGGAAGGGACGGTGTGACCCAGGGTAGGCAGGGACGGTGTGACCCGGGGTAGGCAGGGACGGTGTGACCCGGGGTAGGAAGGGACGGTGTGACCTCAGGGTAGGCAGGGACGGTGTGACCCAGGGTAGGCATGGACGGTGTGACCCGGGGTAGGCGGGGATGGCGTGACCCAGGGTAGGCAGGGACGGCGTGATCCGGGGTAGGCGGGGATGGTGTAACCCCGGGGTAGGCGGGGACAGCATGACCCAGGGTAGGCAGGGACGGTGTGACCCCAGGGTAGGCGGGGATGGCGTGACCCAGGGTAGGAAGGGACAGTGTGACCCGGGGTAGGCAATGGTGGTGTGACCTAGGGCAGGGACAGTATGACCCTTGGGTAGGTAGGGGCAGCATGACCCCAGGGCAGGGACAGTGTGACCCCGGCCTCTGCAGACATCCAGCCCTGGGGGAGCTGTCCTTTAGGAGAGCGGGTGGGCTGTGACATGGTGGCTGTGTGTGGCACTGAGGGCACAGGCAGACACAAAGGTCGCACCCTCCCACAGGCACAGCCCCAGACTCACACAGGACGGCCACAGACGAATGGCCAAGGCCCACAGTCACCCCCACACACTCAGACGCAGATGCACTGGGATCATTTCTGTCCCAGTGGGACACTCTGGTGGACATGCTGGTGCAGCAGACACGCAGGGCAGCTTGGAGCTGCGTACCCTGCCCTACACCTCCACAGTGCACCCCACAGCCGCAGTCACACACACACTGGCACCCCCACGCTCACACCCCTCCCACGGAGCACACGAGGTGCCAGCCAGGCAGACACATGTGCCCTCCGTGCCCTCCTTGGCCCCACCGTCAGCCCTCATCGGTGATGGCAGTGTCATCCCCACCCTGCAGTTCAGTCCCGGGGACCACACACCCAGGGGCGGGGTGCGAGCCTCAGTTCAGCCTGGAGCGCGGGGTCAGGAGGAGTGTCCCGCACACCCCACCCCCTTACCCGGGAAATTTCTGCCAAGTGCGTGTTCATGTCTTGGTCGCTGACTTGCACCATCTGGCGGATCCCTTTGTAGTAACTGTGGGGGGATGGGAAGTTACAGGGGCGGGAGGGAGAGGGAAGGAATGGAGGAGAGGGGCTGCCCCAAGGGGAGGGCGGGGGACCAGAGGCTGGGGAGGGAGGCTGCTGGCACTCACTCCTCCACCATCTTCTTGTAGGTGGAGATCTCCTTGGCGTAGAGGAGCTTGTTGCTGGGAGAGTCCTGGGGAGACAAGGCCAAGTCACGCCTAGGCTGATGGCTCTGGCCCTGCCGGGGATGGGGTCAGGCTCATGGATGCTCGGGGACCCGGGGCGAGGCCAGGCTCTGACACGCCGGGGCAGAGGAGCACAGAGGCCGGAGGCCATGTGTGTGTGCAGGTGGGAGTTCACCTCATCAGGAAGGCTGTGGACCCTGCCCTACCCAGCCACAGACCTGCCTGCACTCCGTCAGCATCTCCGCCTATGCAAGGTTGTTGGGGGAGGCCCCGTGGGAGGGGCAGGGGAGCCCAGGCTGCCCCGAGGTGGCCCACGTCACCTTCCACCCGCCAAATGTCCAAGAGCCCTGACTCGTCCCAAACCGACCTCCTCCCCCGACTCGGTCCCCCACCCTCAGCCCCCTGCCTGGTTGACACCGCCCAGCCTCAGTTCCCCGCCTGCCCGGTCCACGCACACGGCTCAGCTTGTGCTCGGTCCGCGTGCAGGCGTCCATGAAGGTCTGGGCAATGACCGACAGCGAGGCGTCCACCACCTCGTGCACGTGCACGTCGAAGATGAAGTGGGGGTTCTTGAGGATGTTCACCCAGAACCGGAGCGGCAGACTGAGGCGAGAGAGCAGGTGGTCAGGGGCTGTCAGGCCTGGGGCTGCGCGGGGCCATGCGGGGCTGGCACGGGGGCATCCCACCTGTTGGTCTTCCAGATGTGGATGGTGTCCTCGTCCCGGATGTCGTACTTCTCCGCCTGCTCATCCAGGAAGTCAAAGAAGTACTTGACCGCAGGGGGCACTGCATGGCCGGGCGCCAGCACGCTCTGGAAGAAGTTGTCCACGAACTGCTGCAGCGTGCCCTGCGGGCGGGGTGGGCGGTGGTCAGCGTCTGCCTGCCGGGCGCCCCAGGGCTCTGCGCGCCGGGCCCACGGGCACACACCTTGACAGAGAGCAGCCGTGTCAGGTAGATCTCGGTGATGGCCTTGGTGCGCTCCTTCTCCTTCACGCTGCCACGCTTGGGCTTGCCCTCGTCCACCTCGTCGGCCGGACGCACCAGGTGCCACACGCGGTTCTCCTCCTCCAGGAGGGCGTGGCCTGCGGGGGGGGCGGTGCTGAGCATGCCAGGAGGGCTGGGCTCTGTGGGGCAGCAGGGGTGGACAGGGTGCCCTGAGATGGACATCGGTCCCAAGCGAGAGAGGGAGGGACTCACGCTCCCCCGGCAGGTCCTGCTGGCTGTCCTCGGGCTGCTGCGAGACCCCCACCTTGGACAGGATAAGGGTGGCTCCATCCCGGACCTGAGGACGTGGAGATGAAGTAGATGCGCTCACCATGCTAGGTCAGGCCGCCCTGGCCCCTGCTGTTCACCGCCCCTCACGTCCCTCCTGCCCCCACGTTCCCTCCATGCTGCCCACCGTCCCCCGC